GTATCTATGCGTTCAGCGTCATCGATGGAATCGCCGCTTTTGGGAGAGGGGTGACATAACCGAGGTCATTGAGGTGAGTGAAACGGGCAGCAAGCGACGAACAACAGCTACAACACAAATCTAGCGGCGAAACAAACAAACCAACACCCAAAACAAGCGTAGCAGCAACAGCTACCAAAAAAACCCCCCATCTCTACTGAGGGAACGCAACCACAGCGAGAGGTGCACATCCACCCACCCGTTCACCTCCACTCCCACACGTCTCCAAACTTTCCAGAAAGAAGAAAATAAAAAATATGATTAACCAGAGAAGGAAAGAAAGAGATGGGCTTGTCGTTGCAATGGAGGTGCTAGCGTGCTGGCCAGAACAGAATCAGCAACAACACAAACTGCGGCCGCGGTATCTCTGAGATGCACAGGCATCAGAAATATGGCCATTTAGCAAACGAGAAATAAGGAGGGGATAAAACAAATACATATATTAAAAGAGAAGGATGGTGTAAAGGAGCTCAATTACAGTAAATGAATAAATAAATAAATAAATATATATATATATATATATATAGAATAAATGAGAAGACACGCACACTCACCGTCCTCTGCATCATGATAATGATGAATATCTGCTGCTGCTGCTGCTGCTGCTGCTGCTGCTGCTAGTAGAGCGTTCGATGTGGGGTGCGCAGAGCTTTGTTCACCAGCTCCACGCCGTACGCACTTACCTCAACTGTGACACCGTCCTCCCTCTTTTCCTCCTCCTGACGAGGCGCGGAGCCTTGATAGTCTGCGGTGCCCCAGGGCGACAGAGACGGCGCCGTGCTCGTCTCCTCGTCGTTACCGCTTTCACTGTCCACGGCATCTCCGTTTACCTGGGCACCCCGTCCGTTGGCCTGGTACGCGGGTGTCCCTTGTGACGGCTGGGGCTTCGGCTGCTGTGGGGATGCCTGGGCTGTCTTCAATGAAGTCGTCCTACTTGGCGTACGTGGCTGCGCCTTCAGGAGAGGATTGCTCACGTCGTGGCTGTTCGCGTGCGGCTCCTGCTCCTCGTACCCGTTCACCCCCGCCGCTGCACTGGCGCGGCGCGAGTCGCAGAACGAAGAGCGGCGGCCCTTCTCCATCTCCTTCTCCATCTGCACCGCTGCGAGCTCGTCGCGCGTGGGCTGTCGTTGCGCCATGGAGGCCACCGCGGTTTCTCCCCGAAAGTCGAGGCGCGGTGTGGCGTTCAGCGCGTAGAAGCCATGAATCCCCGCCTCCACCTCAGACGCGCGGCGGTAGCGCTGACTCGTCACGCGGCGCAGCTGACTCGTCGTCGTGAGGCGCGGTTCGATGTGCGGCGGCGCGGCGGTGGAGAGGCGGCGCTGTGCGCTGCGTGGGGCGTGCCGCTGGGCCGGCGGTGGCGGTGCGTGGAGGGGGGAGGGGGCGCGCGCTCCACTCGGCCTGTTGGGCGCTGGCGACGGCGAGCTGCCCCGGCGAGCGGGCCGAGACGGGCGGCCTTCCTCGTGTACCGAATTCACTTCTCCCTCCACCTGCAGCGACGCGCTGCGGTCTGCCGCGGCGTTCTCTTGGCGCAGCAGGTGCCGCTGCCGTTGCTGCTGCTGCTGCTGCTGCTTCCGTTTCGCGCGTCGCTCCGCCTGGACTTTGGCGCGGGCTTCGGCCAGCGTGGCCGCCTCGTACGCCGCCTTCGCCGCCGAAACGCTGTCGCGGCCGCGTAGCAAATCTGCATGGGCGCAGGCAGCGCCGTATTTGGAGCTACCCCGCGGTGTCCGCGGTCGACCGTGTGTGGCAGGAGCTGAGGAGGTCCCTTCTTCGCCTCTGCGTTGTTGGTGTTGCTGCGGTGGAGGTCCTCGACGTCGTGCGGCCACCACCGGCGGCCTGGGCAGGTCCAGCGGCGGGACATCAACGGGGCGTTGGGCGCGGGCACTGCGCGAGGACGCCGTGGCATTGCGGTGCTCCGTCGAGCAATCGTGCTCACGTCGTGGCGCTCCATTGTATGTCGTGCGACCGTTGAAGTCCACCGGCAGTTCCACCACCTTCTCTTCTCCGCCGAGTTCTTCTTGTACTTCATCGGCATCGCGGTCCGGCGGAGGCGGTCGCAGCCGACACGGCGACACGACCAACGGGCGCGCGGAGGCTCCATTGCGTGAAACGCGCGAGGACGGCGCGCGGTCGGCCATGGACGGATCCCTCGACCGCACCCACTCCCTCGCTGACTGCGCCGCCTCCAGCTCCGTGTGGTCGAGCCGGACGGGGGAGCGGAAGGAGCGGTGTCTCGGCGGTACCGGGAGGGAGGCGGTGATTTCCTCTTCCTCTGCTGCGGCTGCTTTGTCTCCGTCTTCTCCAGCTCCGCTGGGCTTCCTGGCAGAGGCGGGCAGAGACGGGGTTCGGCAGCGCACGCCGGGTCGCGGTGACTGCGCCCCTGGCCGGCGTGCGCTGTGACCGTTCACGACCACGTCCGGCACGTCGTCCAGCTCCGCGGCGTGGGCAATTGCCTGCTGAAGGCGTCGCTTGTTGGAAGGAGAGGGATTACGAGGGGACGGAAGAGGCGGCTGTTGTTGCCGCGACGCAGGAGCCCGTAGCTGGCCTTTGCAGCCGCTGTGCGACAGCGTAGGAGGGGTGGAGGCGGCGCATGTGGGATTGACCGAAGGGTCCAGCGGTGGTTGCTTCTGTTCCTCCTCGCCCTCATTGTGTTGCGGAGCGGGTGTTGATGCCCCCGCTGTCGCTTGCGGTGGCGGTGCTTTCTTCTTCGAAGCAGAGAGGCTACGCTTTGATCTCGGGGGCTCTACTCGCTGCTGCTGCTGGTGCTGCCGCTGCTGAGGTAGAGGAGAAACATTTTCTTGATCAGCACCTTTGCCAGCGGCGACAAGGGCATGCGAGGACGGCTTCCCTGCCGCTTCCGCTGCTGCTGCTGCTGGTGGTTTCACCTGGCCACTGTGACCTGCTGCCCCATTACTGTACTTTTCCTGCTCCGACGGTACGTCGCAGCTGCTACGGCGGCGACGCTGCGCCGACAAAACAGGAGCGGTGTCGACGAGGGCGGCGGTGGATGGTGCGACATCAAAAGGCGGCCGATTCGCCGATTTGGGTGGCTGCCGCGGTGATCGCTGCGGCGTAGGTTTGCGGACACCGCGAGCTGCAGTCGGCTTCGTTAAGCCCTCCGCTTTTTGCACCGGCGCCGCGGGGAATGCAGCCGCTGCCGGTGACGGCGACGACGGGGGCGGCTGCAGCGAACCCTGCACTTCCGCCGGCGTGCGTGTCGGCTCCAGCTCCCGCCTCACCGGCGACGTCGCACTCGACGGCCGATGTTCCATCTGCGCCGCTCGCGGAGGCGTGGCCGGCGGTGTGGTGGTGGAGCGCTGCAGCTGCGGCAGGGCGGCGGGGCTGTCCGCCATCGCCTCCGCCCAATACGTGGAGTTGCGCGGAGGTGATGGCGTGTGCCGGCCGGGGCTGCGTGAGGGGACCGGGTTAGATTCCCACGGTGCTGCGAGTGTCAGGGAGGGCACCGCTTTGTGTTCGTGTGCTTCCTCCGGTTCTTCCCCGTTCGCGGAGAGCGTGGCAGCCTTCAGGTAAGTTCTCTGCAATGGTGGCACATTTCTTCTCGGTGGTTGCCTGTGCTGTGGTGGTGGTGGGCGTCGGCGCAGCTGCTGCTGCGTTGGGAGCTGTGCCAGTGCGTTCTGTAGCTCCTGCCGTGGCGCCGGTGTCTCCTTGTGCGTTGCCGCTGCTTGTTGCTGCGGTGGTCGTCGCTCCAGCGGCGCTGATGGCGCGTGCGCCGTGTTTTGGTTCAGCTCCTGCTGGCTACGACTCGCCTCCGTAGAGGGGGTTGGCTTAGCTGCTGCTGCTGGTGCCGGTGTTTGCGAGCTTTTAGGCGATGGTGCTGACTTTGGACTCGCTGAACGCGCCGTGGGCTGCGGCGGTTCGTTGTGCGGGGAAGGGGGAACGGATGAGGCGGCGTCCGGAACGCCCTCTTCTCTTTCCCCTCCGATTATTGCCTCCGATGTGGTGCCCGTCAAGTGCGACGGCGCAAGACCTCCCGCACGACCCGGCGTTGCTGGTTTCTCCTCCACCTCATCCTGCGTGGCGACAGCATCCTTTTCGATGTTGGCGCTGCTGAGCGGCTCACGGAGAATGTCGACCAAATAGAGTTGCGGTAGCAGCTGGGAGTCGGGACGCGGTGACAGCCGGCCACCTGCGAGCGCCTGCGTTACTTCGCGTGCGCGTTGCGCCGTCGTGTCCATGCCCTGCTGCCGCAGCAGCACCTTCCGCGTTGCGTCCTCTGCGAGCAACTCCGCCAGCACGGCCTTCGCCCCCTCCTGCGTCAGACGGTCGTTATCCGTCAAGAGAAGGTGCTGCAGCGACGCCCACACCATGTCCGCCTTCACATCCGGGGAGTAGTAATTCAAAAAGGTGTTGCCGCTTCCGTTGCTGCCACTCATCGCGGCTGTCACGCCCACCACTCCGCCGCGCGCGGAGACCAGCATAAACGGGCGTGCGCGACGCACGGCGCGCAATATCACCGTCGTCGCAAACCACCTCGCCGCCTCGTCGTCGAGCGCGCAGCGGCGCAGGTCCAAATACAATATGGAAAGCCGCGGTGGGAGGGCACCGGGTGTGGCGCCGGCGGAGGCCTCGCGCAACGCCTGCACCTCCGGCGAGGAGGGCCACTTCGTGGGCGCCGCGTCGTCCGGCTTGCGCACAAACTCCAGCGCGGCGACGAGGTGGACGAGGAACAGCTTCAGGCACTGCGCACACGCCGCACGAGCCTCGTTCGAGCTCAGCCGGCCACCGATGGCGAGAGAGGGGTCAAGGATGAGGCCAATCGGGCACACCGGGCGCCGCACGGCACCGTCGAGGCTGCTCATACCCGCGCCGCGCTTCCCGTTCAAGGCTGCTGCTGCTGCTTGTGGCTCGTGTTGATCTAAATACGCGTAGATGGAACGCAGCACAGGTGCGTAGGTGCGGGACTTGGTGAAGGCGTCGAGCTCCGCACAGTTGCGGATCAGGAGGATGGGTTGATCTAACGGTGAGAGGTCTGCTGTCGACATCATGGAGGCAGCGGACGAGTCACCGGCAATTTTCCGCGCCGCGCCCGCCTCCACCACACGAATCGCAGGACAGTGCTGCACGACTGCGCGCGCGTTCGGTGAGGGCACCGTGCTGGGTGCCGCTCGTTGCGTGCGTATCACCACATCCGGCACCGGGGCGTCCGCCTGCAGCACCACAGAGACGTCGCTGCCCATTCTATATATATATATAAGTACGTCCGGTTAGGGGATGGAGAGGGAGGAGCACGAGGGCAATGCACAACAGCAGTAGCTAAAACAAAAAAAGGAGGCAACAATAGTCCGGCAGCAGGGATAGTATATATATTTCTTCTCCAATAGAATAAAAGCCAGTGCGAGAGAGACAGAGAGCGTGAGAATACGAAAGCCAAATTAATCTAGAACAAAGCACACGGGAGTAAAAGCTTGACAGCTGTCCACACACACACACACACACACACACGAATAGGGAGGGGGAGGGATTCACACGTGCAGGCACCGCTAACAAGTTTGTTTTTTTTTTAAGTGCTGTTAAATGCCAAAAGGAGTAAGAAGAAACAGCGGGTCAGGTCAGAACGGTGTGCGGGGGCCCCCACGCAAGACATAGGAACGACAAAAGAATAGTAAACAATAATAATAATAAGGTACCGTGACGGATGATGCGGGATAATCATATAATGGTGTCTAGTTATTCCCTTTATGGTATTAGTACGTACAAAGCCGACCTGCGTGCCTCACAGACATCGTCATCATCATCAACAGAATGAATGACGGCGTCAGACAGTCACACAATATACCAAAGAGAAGAATGTGAGTAAGTGAGAGGAGGGAGAGAGGCGGAGAAGGAGAGGAGAAAGAAAAGGCTGTTCGTGAGAGTAGAAAGTATGAAGAAAGAAGAGGAGGAAGCACGAAGCCAACACATCGGTTCCTCAGCTCCCACAGCCATTGCAGGGCAGAAGAAAGAGAAGGAAAATCTCTATGGTGTTGGGTGTTCTACGCGAACGAACAAGCAAGCAGGTCAGATCAGAAGAGGGCGGTCACGTATCAAACATGAAGAGCTGTGCTGATGCTTCTTGAACGAAAGAATAATGCTTGGCACAACTCTTCAGTGAACGTGTATAGTGAAAAAAAGAAAGAAAAGATTGTTCTTACACAGCAACCGAATGATACCCAACGAGTCTATACATCAACATGCACTATACATATCGGCTCTTCGAAAGAAAGAGAGAGGAGCTTCGAAGCACACACCCACACACAGCTTTGGCTGCACGAAGATCAGCAAAAGGAGAGCAAAGCACCGCCCTGAACCACGAAGCAGCACATCCACGCAAGCGTCCACGACGAACGTTGTGGCACGACAGCTGGACTCTCAACGAGCAACAACAGCGAACAGCCACAGCAGGCTTGAGAAAAACACAGTTGCTTGCATTCTTACTCGTTTCGTTGAGCTTTAGTACGCGTACTTGTTCTCGGTGAAGTGGGTGTGCTTACCGAAGCGCGACGAGCTCATCGGGTCTACCGGCGTCTTGCCGTGCACCGTCATCGTCTTGCCTGTGTGCGGGTTGCCAGTGTACACGGTGATCGGCTCATCATCCTGGTAGTCGGTCGCCAGCTCCTCCACCACCGGCAGTACCTCCTGCGCATCGCACATCGTCGCGCGGTACTCGGAGATGTTGGGTCCAAAGGCCCGACTGGCGTTGGACACGTTCATCTCCGACTCCACCAGCTGCCGCTGACGGGCCGCGTCGTTGGCGGCTTTCATCTCCCGCGCCGCCGCGAGGGCCTGCTCCATCAGCCGCTGACTGCGCACCCCCAACGCAGGCCGTTGCTGCGTGCTGACGTCGCCGTTCGTGGCGTTGTAGTCGACGTGGTAGGTAGAGTCGAGGTCACGCAGGTTCGGGTGCTGCGGATCGCACGTGAGGTAGGGCGTGCTGGTGTGTCCTCCGGTGTAGTGGCCATTCTTCTGCTGCGTAATCACCTCCGTCGTGACGGACGGGCTCCAGCCGGATTGCAAGAGAGTCTGCATGTGACTCGGCACGGCGCTCTGCGTGCTGTCCGCCGTTTGTTGCTGCTGCTGCTGCTGGGCAACTTGAATGGCAAGCAAATCGCGCTCCAGTGCGTCCTCCTCCTGCCAGTTACCGCACAAGACGCGTCGTGGGCGCTGCGGCGGCGGTGGAGGCGCTGCGCCTCCGTCGATGCTCTTGCTGGCGCCCTCATTCACTACGGTTGCAGCGGAGGAAGAGGAGGTGGCCAGGGTGGCTGCGTACTCCGCCGCGGTGGGACGCACGCGGTTGTACCGCCGCTCCTCGACCCACGTCCCACCAGGGCTGCAGGTGTCGATGGGCACGTAGGGCTTCTGCGCCTTACTCAGATGAGGATCCATGACGGGGGCAGAGTGGCTGGTCTTCGTGTGCTCGTTTACTTGTTTGTTGGTTGGGTAGAAGCGACAACAACGACAACGCCGCTAAGAAAAGGAAAAGGAAAAGAAAAAGGAAAGAGTCAGCACACGAGCAACTTTTCTTACTAGACACTGCGTCCGCACATGCGGACACAAGAACCAAGCAAAAAGGAGGAGGAGGAGGAGGAGGAGAGGCGGAGGTGACAGAAGAAGAAAAACAACAAAAAACACGAGGCGTAAAAGCCGCGCAAATAACGAAGCAATGACCATCAACAGCACCGTTCGTGTCACAATCTTCTGCTGAGTTCATACGCGCATGCAACGGCAAACATCGAGAGAGCTTTCTCAAAAGAATAAAAACATGCGAATAAAACGGCAGAGAAAAAGACCGGGATGCTTGACTGTTGAAAGGCAGAACACAAACAGACATACGCCCTTTCGATGCACAACCAATTATTATTTTCGATAACTTCCGTGTTGTCGCTGCTGCACGTCTTCGCGACACTCAGCGAAGCGGTGCAACGACGTTCTTCTTCTCCATTTTTTTCCTGCTGTTTGCTTTTAAGGCTTTAATGGTATTTTTGGGGATAAAATACTTAACGGGGGGAACCAAACAGAAACAAACAACCGTGATTAACGAAAACTTACTTCACCTTCTGCAGTGCAAAAGGCACTACGGTGGAACGGCCCTTAACACGAGAGTTAACATTAAATATATTAAAAACAAATAATAATAGTTATGAAAGAAACACATTCGACGGAGGCGTCAAACAGCCGAGGCCACGATCCACAGACAGAAGCAGCAAACAAATCGCCGCGGACCCCAAAGAAGACAACACCCCTCCGCTCAAGAAGGGGGTGGGGGCGGAGGGCGTAACACACGGTCACAAACTACGCCCAGCGCGCAGAGAGAGAGAGTGATAGAGCAACAAAGAGGGCGAGGAAAGCGGCGGGGCACGATCGGTTGTTTCTCACATTCTAGAGAGCGCAACGCACCTTGCCCATTTTTTTGTTTTCCTTTCTTCTTTCTTTCCTTCATGCCACCATCGAGTTCGTCCCATCTTCCTCAATCCAGCCCCTCACTTTAAACGGTTGCGAAGTACGTGCTAACAAACAAACAAGGAGGAGGAGGAGAGCGCCTGTCGAAACGGTCCGATGCACGCAGCGCGCGCGCACACACACATACACACACAAGCCAACTCAACGCACCCACTTCGGCAGCCGTTTGTAGGGGTTGTCGCTCTTCTTCTCCTTCAGCGGCTTGCCCTTCGCCTGCGCTCGCATCCGTTTCGCTTCGACGCGCGTGTTGACCAACCCCGTGCCGTCCTTTGACTTCTGCAGTTTGCCCTCCGTAATGTGCTTCGCCTTCGTCCCGAGCGCTGCGGCCTTCCTCTCCGCGCCGTGCACGACGCCGCTGACCATCTTGTAGAAGCGTGCGGCCTTCTTGCGGGCGACCTGCAGCTGCATCTTCCGCGTCGCAGCCTCCTGCTTCTTCACCTCGCCCATCTTGCGACGCAGCCGGACCTCGGCGGTCTCGTTCTGCCGGGCCGACTCGTGCGACTTGCGCAGCGCCTGGCGACGACGTGCTACTACCTCGTTCGTCGGCGCGTTCATCAAGTTCATCTCACGCTGCTTCTTCACCTTCAGCGCCGACAGCTTCGGCCGCTGCACCTCCTCGGTGACTTCCTCCGCCTCCCACGCCGGCTGCTTCCGGGCGTCGGCGAGCTCGTCGTCAGAAAGCGCGACGTCGTCAGCGGCGTCCATCACCGGCACCGCCACGTGCGCCTCGTCGTCGCTGTACTCCTCCTCCAGCGCCGCCACCTTGCCCTCCGGGTCCACCGGGGAGTAGGCCGGGTTGATCAGCTTGCGTATCTCGTGCACGCGCTGCGGGACGTAGCCGACAATCCTCGGGTGGTCCTTCTTCACCTGCTCCACCGCCGCGTTGTCCTCCGCGGCGTTCGTGATGGAGACGGAGAAGGGCGAGACGTGCGGGGGGAGCTCCTCGCCGATGCGGTAGCCGGCGACGGGCAGCACCAGGCGCGCGTTGAGGCAGTCGAAGACGTACTGCGGCTGCACGTACTCGAGTGTGTCGTGCTTCGCCATGCCCGGCGCCAGGGCAGGGCGGTCGACGATGACGTGGGTGATGTTTGACGGGACGTAGTCGGTCGCCACGCGGCCCCCGCAGGCGTTGATCACGAAGCTGATGTGCTTCGCCGGGACCTCGCGCGAGAGGTAGAAGGTCAGGCCGCGGAAGAGGCTGCGCGCCTTCTGCAGCTCTGCCTCCATCAACGTTTGCTTCGTCGCTGTCGCCCGCACCGTCTGCGCCTCGGCCGGGTTCGCGCCCACGTCAAGCACCGTCAGCGCCGCCGCGCTCGCGAAGTCCTCCGCGTTGGCGCGCGCCACCCCCTCTTCGTCCTCCGCCGCATTGCGGTCCACCTCGTCCCGAGCGAGATCGGCCTCCAGCTTCACGAGCACAAACTTCATCATCTCCAGGTAGAACTCTAGGAAGCTCAGCATCACGTACTGCTGGATGCCCGGGGGGAAGCGGTGGGCGTACTCGTGAGGGCACAGCCAGCGCACCCGCTCCCCCTTCACGATCGCCTCGTAGTAGTAGCCCTTGATGGAGATGAAGGCCTTTGTCAGCGTGTGTGCGCGTGCTACGTAGCGGGACCAGCGCTCGCACATCGCCTGCGCCCGCTCGTGCATGCCGGACGTCAGCGAGTGGTGCACCTCGATGGTGCTATCGGACTTGATTTCAGGACTAAGAAAAGCGTAGAGGTGGAGCATGGACATGGCATCGTCGATGTCGCGAACGGCGTCGATGAAGTACGGGTAGCGCTCTTTGATGGTCGCCACGAGGCTGTGGTGCGGCTTCACACGGGAGGTGTGCAGCGCCTTCAGGTCGTCCACCAGCCCCATCGCCTCCGCTCGCTTTATTTTCTTCTCCCACGCGCGGAAGGCCATCATCTTCTCCGCGATTTGGTCGCGCACCAACCACTTGATCTCGCGGGCGAGGTAGTACTGCTTTTCGTTACCGCTCTGCTTCTGCTTACTGCGGGCCAGCGCACGTGGGTAGATGCCTTTGAGGATGCACAGGCGACGGAACTGGATGGACTCCATTTGCAGAAGACGGGTCGCCTGCATGCGGGTGAGATACTTCTTCTTGAAGCGCTCCTTCTTGACCCGCTTTGCCCATGCCTGCTTTTTATGCGGCATTGCGTCGCCCTTCTATCTATTGTCGTTGTTGATGCGGTGCTGAAGTAGGGGCGCAGATGCGTGTGTGTGTGTGTGTGCTCTGCTGACCAAGGAGTGGAGCAAGATCTCAGAAAAATACGAGACGATGAAGAGAACAACACGGATGCGGGCCGAAGAACAATAAAAGAAGATATGGCACACGTTCTTGCTGAAGAATGCATGAAAAGGAAAAAAAAGGGCCGTTCGGAGTGGACGGTGCGCGCGTCGCCGGTAAGTAAGAGGAACCCAAAGAGGAACAAGCAGCAGAAGAAAGCAAAGCACACAGGAGAAAATGGCGGAGAGAGAGAAAGAGAGAGAGAGAGAGGGGACATCATTTCTTCTCTCTTTTTTCAAATGTAAGGTGCTATCACCCAGTAATAGAAAACAACCAAAACCAAAAACGCACGCTACAACATTCGACGAACACGGCTCGCCCATTCACCGTCGACACTTGAGAGGGAAAAGAAAGAATGAGAACCGATTCGCCGCTACACATCAGATTCAACTTACTTGGGGGGCACTCGTGCGAGTCGTTTGCTGCTCATGGAACACGCATTTTTCTTCCGCGCTGCTGTTTCTAGTTTGGTGTAGTTCACGTCAAGGTGTAAAAGAGAGATTCTGTGGAGAGAGAATAACGAAGCGCGTGCGCGGTAAACCCACGCGATTTATACGTGGCAAAAGATTCGCAGCGAAGCACACCCGCCAACCGCATTTCAAAACAACACACAAGAACACCGACAACGATTGCGATCAACACGCATGGAGTTCTTAGTAGCAAAGTATGTATATATAGTTCAAGGCAACGAACAATCGAAAGCACTCCCTCCCACAGACACACACACACTCAGGACAAGATACTGAAGTTGACGCAGTACTAAAAAAAAGTCACCTGAGAATACCCATTCCATCTCTCTCTCTCTCTCTTTCATATTTTCTTCCTTTATTGCTGTTTCGCGCTGCCTGCGTCCTCATCCCCGTCTGCACCTTCTGCTGCTGCAGCGGCGGCGAATTCCGCAGTTGAGCTCAACAGCTGCTTCGCCTCCTTCTGCTTCTTCTTCTCCGATCGCCACTGCTGCCGCTGCAGCTCCTCGACCGCCACGGACTCAATGCGCTGCTGCCGGTCCTGTTCACAGCCCGGGTAGACGCCGTCCTCGAACTTGCGATCGAGCAGGTTGCCATCGTCTACCGCCTCGGTGTCAAAGTGATAGGGCGGGGTGAAGATGGAGTACAGGAATGTGCTGCGGGCCTCCAGCGACGGGTAGTCATCACTCCAGTCGCTCATCGTCACAAAGCCCTCCATGGGGACAACGTGGTCCGTGTCCACCACACGACGGGTGAAGAGGACGCCGTTCAGGTGGTCCATCTCGTGCAGGGCCATGCGACCCCGCATGCGAGCGAGCTTCACCGTAAACTCCTTCCCATGCTCGTCTAGTGCGCGAATCCGCACCGTCAGCGGACGCTCAATGTAGTGCAGCATAAAGCCGCTGCTCGCACACGGCTCCCAGGCGAAGCCTGTCATGCCAGCGGCGCGCAGCTCGCGCATCTTCTCCTCTTCGTACTCCACCCACGGCACTCCCCTCCGCGCTGCATCGGCCGTCCACTCCTCCGCATCCAGGTTCACCGGATTAATAAAGACGGTGTCGTCGAAGAGGGTAAACATCTGCACATTCCAGCCGCTCTGCGGGGCACTCAGCGACGGGTATTGGTAGTAGTGTCGTGCTGCTTTGACCTGCGCGATGAGGTCAGCGTACTCGCCCTGCTGCACGCGGCGTGGGTCAAGGGGGTACTGCCGGCACCACAGCGAGCGCGCCGGCAGCTGCACAATTGGGTACTTCTCCTGCACAGTTTGCCCTGACACGTAGGGGCGGCTACCGTCTGCGAAGGTGGCGCTGCTGCTGCTGCTGCTGCTGCACGGACGGTGCTGCACACCGGTACAAGCAATGGCTGCTGCTGCGGTGGAGCATCTGTGCTGAAGGAGCAGCGGTGGCGACGCGGAGAGGGCGAGGGTAGACGATGCGGAGGAGTAGGAGGAGAGGAGAGGGGAGGCGCGGTGGCGGCCGCACTTTGATGCGCTACAAAGGCAGGTGGAGATGCCGGTTGGTTTTGCGGGGCGAAGGGCCGTCGCAGCAACGGCGGCTGCAGCCTTCGCGGCCGCCCCAGCACAGCGGTGGCGCATGGAAGTGCTTAGGTGGGCGTGTAGAAAGACTGGCGCTTCACGCGAAGGCGACGAACACGCGCAATGCGAGGCTAAACCTGCTGCTACAAATAAAAAGGTGGTGGTGCGAGGGGGCGAAGAAGGCTCTCCTCTGCTTTGTTTTGAGTGGTGAGGAGGCTGACACGAGTAATAGATCATGAAAAGTCATTACCAGAGTTGCAAGAGGGCGTCGAGGCAGGGAGAGCCGCGAAGGACGAAGGTGAAGATGAAGGGGTCAAGTGGGTGGCGGCACAAACGCAAACCTCTTTCCTTCAAAGAAATACATACATATATATATATGCAGATTAGGTAGGCACTGTCGACACAGAAAACCCCCAACCACATGAACGGTAGAGGACGGCCCTTTTATTGCCCCTCCTCCCTGCAGTGGCGACGCAGCTCCTCATTACGCTGTGTGCGTGTTCTGCCTGCTGTCGAGTAGGCAGGTATATTAAAGAGTATGTACTCTTTCTCGCTTTTTGCATGAATCAGTGTTGAGTACTCGCTGCTTGGCAGTGAAGACGCACACGCAGCCGCGGTGTAAAAGAGCGGCGTCGAATCCGTGTGAAGAGGAAGAGGAGCAAACAGAAACACATATGCCCAGAGTTGAAGAACGAAGCTACACCGGCGACAGGGGGAATAAAACTACTGATTCGAAGAATTCTCCGAAGAGCTCTACAGCGTTGCGTGAAAAGGAAGAAGGTCGTCACCGCTCGCCCCCACTCACAAATAAAAATATTAATAAAGCCAAGACAACACAAGCGAGCGAGCGAGCGAAGAGCGAACAGCGGAACAAAATATAATAATAATAATGCGAGGCGCCAACGCGCCGATTTCACCCCCGAAAAGAGCAGCGACACACAAACCACCAAGAAAAAAACACGTCAACAGAGAAGAAGAAGGACAAGAACAGCAGTGGAGAAAGCAACGATGGGCGTGTGTGTGTGGGGAGACAGTACCGATGCGTATATATCTGTAAATGAAAGCGTCATCCATATCGGGGTTTCACTTCACTAGACACGATCATCACCAACCAATTGCAACACAGACTTCAATCATGATAAAAAGAGAAAGATATCTAGCTATATATATATATATATATATATCGCATACGTGAACTATGAAGAGAACCTTGGCAGAACAGCTACACATATGCACACATATGTATAATAATAATAAAAAAAATAACACGTCAATAAAGGAACGATGCTGATGTGAAGGAAGATAACCACACAAGGAGAAATGCAACGATGTATAGCCGTCCGCACCCGTTCCCACCTCCCGGGGGGGGGGGAGAGAGGTTGAAGAACGAGAGGAAGGAGGAGAGAAAGAAAAGGACCTTTTTTGTGGACTCCTCTCAACTCCACCGTAGCAAATCGCGCACATTCGTCGACATGTTTGCGTAGCTCGTGCGACGCATGCAGGTTGGAGAGACCCCCGTGGACACCCCCGCTGCCCGTTGCTGTGACGGGGAGACAAGGCCATTTGAAGACGTCTCCTGCTGCTGCTGTCGTGGTGGCGTGGTGTAGTTCGTTAAGATCCCCGAGGAGCCGAACCGGGTGTCCGTAATTTGCAGCACATTCTGCGGACGTTTCTGTTGCTGCAGCTGCTGCTCCTCCAGAAAAAGCTGCTGCTCCTGCTCCAGTTGCAGAAACTGACGGCCTTGCAGCGGGTCCAGCACGAACACAAAGTCCGTCTGCGTGCCGCACCCCGACACGACCGGTTTCTCACAGGGCCCACCCGCGTAGCTGCTGCTGCCCAGATGATCTTTCGAGCTAGCGGCCGGGGAACCGGCACCGCTGGCGCGGTCGTGCTGACGCGACGAGAAGGCCGAGGAGGAAGCCTCTGATTCTGGCGCGGAGCTACTCGCTGCACTCACCTCACTCCGCACGCTGCGCCCGCCGTGGCCGTGGCGGTGGCTGCTGCTCCGGCCGACGCTGCTCCGCTGGACAGAGGATGCCACCGAAGTGCCGAGGGTGGGTGTCGGGGTGGGGCGGCTGTTTGGAGGGTCCTCCTTCTGATCCTCGGAACGACGACTGCTCTCCCCCGCCTTCGTTTCTGACCTCCGCGACGACGCGACCGGGCTGGCAGCAGCGGCGGAGCGATGCGACGGGGCTGCGGAGGCGGCCGTCGGCGCCCCCACCTCCTCACCGGTCGACGAAGGGTCGTAATGCTCCTCGTGCGCGCTGGCCCCGTCCGTCGTGCTGCTGCTCGCCTCGCGTGTGTAGGCGTTGGAGGACGGCGCCGTTGATGGTAACGTTGCCGCATTGACTGCCGCTGAGGGTCTTGTCTTCGTTGTTGCGGATGCTGGTACGGCTGTGGAAGCTGCTGTGCGCGGCGTCGAGGGCGGTGGCGATGGCAGGGGAGGTGGGACATCCGCTGGCGCGCTCGCACGCGACGGCCGCTCTGTCCGGGGCCGCGCTCGCGTCGTTTCATCGTCTTTGTTCAGCCTGTTATTGTTGTTGCTGACGGTCGCTGGCGCAGCAGCAGTATCTGATGGCCGCTTCACCCGCTCGTCACGCTCGCGCGAAACGCGCGACGACACCGATGCGGGCAGCGTTGGGGCAGGCGAGGGAACAGGAAAGACGGTGTCCGGCCTGGCGCTCTTCGGTGTCTGCACCTCGGACGAGACGGCCGTGTTCGCAGCCGGCACGTGCGAGAGCTGCGGTGGGGGTACCGGGGCAGCTGCCGCCGTCGCAGCCTTTGCGGACGAGGACGGCGATGGGGCGGGGGTGCTCTTGTGAACACTTACCGGTGATGAAGACGTGGACCGCAGCGCAGCCGTGTCGTCCACCTGAGCGCCGGCGGTAGAGGCGGCGGAAGACGGCACCACAGAGGACTGCGCATTCACCGCAGCGCGCTCGCTCTTCTCCGTGGGGGCTGCGGAGTGCGGTGGCTGCTGCTGCTGCTTCTGCAGCCGCTCCTTCTGAGCTGCTGGCTTCACTGCAGGCTTTGCAGCAGGTGCACCCTCTTCCTTCTTTTCCCCTTGCGGCTTGCAACCTTCGCTCGTCTGCAGCCGCCTGCTCGTCTCCGACTTTGCTGTACTCCTGTTGGAGCGGGCTAACGAAGTTGCGTCTGGTGGGCTTGTGACCTTCGGCACCTTCGCGGCCTGCGCGGGCGGTTGCTCGTCAACGGGATTCTTTTCTCCTGAATGGCGGTCGGCGAATTCATCGGGCTGGACCGCCGTTGGCGCCTTGGCCTCTGCCACGGGGTCGGTGCCGCGCGGCGGTGCAACGACGCCATCGCTGGGGCTCTGACTCCCGCTGTTACCCCCAACGGAGGGCCGAAGGACCACCGCCTCCGCGGGCGGGCTGCGCGCGTTGTGCGATGGTGGATGCTGTTGCGACTGCGGCTTCTCCAACGCAGCAGCTTCCTGCTCTGGAGCCGCGACGACTTCGCTGTCTTCCGCTGGGCGATCTGTCTCTACGTGATCGGATGGCGCCTGCAGCGGTGGCGATGACGGCGTCACACCCACCACCGCAGCGGCCTCGGTTCCTCGCCGGGGTGACCGTCCGTAGTCGCTGTTCGTCGTGCTCGGAAACGGTGTGGGCTGCATGATCGCAAAAGACGTGGATGCCTGCGAGACATCGCGCGTCTGCTGACCGTCCAGTGACGATTGCGGAGGCGTACCCACCAAACCGGATTGCCGCTGCCGCTGCTGCTGCTGCTTGCTGGTATTGTTGCCTGGCCGTTCGTGCTCCTCAGACGGCGGTGTGTGAAAAAGATTAAGCGTGCCGGCGCCGCCCTGCTGTCCAATCTGACCGGTGCTCATCGCCGGGTTGCGTCGGTACGGGGCGGTGATGTCGCTGACGATGCGGCCGCGTGGTGGAGTGAGGCCGCCGGGACGCCCGCAGGACTCCTCGCCGTAGCCCCAAACGAAGTCGGAGAGCCCGGGGCTGGGCCGCCCCGCCGCCGCCGCCGCCGTCGTCGTTGATGGCCGCGGTGGTGGTGGTGCGTACACGAGGTTCTCGTCGGCACCGCGTCCGCGCTGCTGCTGCTGCTTCCGTGGTACCCGTGGTGGCGCGTACGGCTTCTGCTCCTTCACAAAGCTCTCGCCCTTAATCGGGATGGGCGCCTGGTGCTCAACAACGTCGTTGCCATCCTCGTCTTTCGTCATGGGGATGTCCGGGTACATGCCGAATAAGTCGAGCTGCTCCGGAATGCGGAACTGCCGCGTCGTCGGCCGGGTGCGCGTCAGCGGGTCGACCAGGTAGGTCTGGCGGAAGTACTCCTTGCGGTCCTCCTCGTAGCGCATGTCGAGGCGCCAGGTGCCCGGTGCATTAAAGGCGTGGTGAGGCATCGCCATAATCCGCTCCCGCTGCTCTTTGGGCAGGTCCATCAGCGGGTCGTGCGGGACGTACGCCTGCGGAGACGCCGTCCGGCGCACGCTGCCGCGTCGCTCCGTGTTCAGGTGGAACGGCACGATGGCGGTTGAGGTGCGGCGGGGGCTTGTGCTGGAGGGTCGCCCGCGCTGCGGACTACGGCCGTTCGACGATGCCGTCGTGACGAGGCGTCGCGCGCTGGCGGACGCGTTGGTGGAAGCTGGAGCAGCACCGTTCTCTACTGGCAGGCTTCGCCGACGCTGCTGCTGCTGCTGCTGCTGCTGCTGGGACTGTTGGTTGCTGTTGCGGCTGCTGCTCGACTCCTCGTCCTCCTCCTCCTCTTTTCGTGCTGCGGCGGGTACTTCTGCTTTGTCGTAGGGAGAGGAGCTGCCGCTGTCGCGTTGCACAGAGTACGGCACTTCAACCGCAGCGGCGGCGGCGGCGTTGCTCGTGGTGGTGGTGGCCGTCGTGCGCGGCGCCTCCGCGTGAAAGTCACTCCCTCCGTCCTGCGAGGCGTACGAGGAGCTGGAGGAGGATGCGGTGCGATTCGACCTGTGCGGTGCAGGTTGCTTCCCCGATGCTGCCTGGCCGTCCCCACTGCCATCCGTTTCCCTCATCGTACTTCGCCCATTCGCCGCAGGGAAGCCCGTGAGAGAAGGCAGTGCGGCAGGACGCTGCGAGATGTCCTTGTGCGAGGCGGGGCGGTCCAGCGCGCTGACCTCACTGGTGATAGAGCGCAGGTCATGGAGGCTTGCCTCGCCAAACGTCGACCCAGGACCGACGACGGAGGCCCGCTCGGAGCGGCGCATTGGCAGGCGAGAGCTGCGGGTACTGGCCCGGCTGTTTACCGATGCCTCGCACGGCGACTGGGTGCTTGGCATCACCACCGACCCCGCCACACCGTTTCCCCCGCGGCCGTTCTCCTTTTCACTCGCGGTGTCCTTTTGAGAATTGCCCTCGTGGGCGGACGGCCCGCCCGCCGGCGACGGTGCACTGTGGTGTGAGCGGTGACGGTGACGGTGGCTGTGGCTGTGGCTGCGGCTGTGGTGGTGCCGGGAGGAGCTGCTGTGGTGGTTCAACTGCATCCCCTTCATTTTGTCTCCGCCTCCGCCTCCGACCTCGCGCGGGGGAGCACCGTTTGGGGCGAGCTGAGAGGATCGGCGCGAGCCGCCGTTGCGGTGGCTGTGACTGCGGTGCTGGTCTGACGGGTGTGACGCGAGCTCCTCGCTCGTGCGCGAGGGGGCGGTCTTGAAGCTCTCGGACTCCATTTTCTACCTCTAAAGCAAATACTAATATTAACAATAAGCACAAATATAGAAATATATATATGTGCCAAACGCGGTGCGTTTCGGCGTCAAAAAATAATAGTAATAAATAGGCGTGTACACGGCAACGCGCGTCGATGGTGCGTCGACGATGGGTGAAGCTAGAACGAGAAAATTCGAAAATGAATAAGGGAAAGGGAGAAGGGGCTACGCGGTCCGCTACACAGCAGAGAGGAGGTAGTGCTAGAGAGACAAGAGGCCGATGAACATAAGCGCTCCGTGGTGTGGAACCCACCGTGCTGAAGTGGCGCTCATTACAACAAGTCAGACAGGCGCACATTTTCGGAGGCGAGAAGGACCCTTGCCTGCAAGTGTGTTGACTCTAGTATATGTGCAGACTGGTAGCGCGGAACGCGGAGGCAGCGAGAAATGCCCGCCGGCTTTGCGGCTTCGTGGAGCCATTCCAGCCCCCTCTTTTGCTGTTGTTTTCCTTGAAGCACACAGAAGGCCGCCATTCGGCGATGTACTCCCTCATGACGAACACACACACACACACACAGAGACCGAGAGAGACAGAAGGATCGTGCGGCTTAACACCTACACACATATATGTATATTACGCCTCTTTCTTTTTGGCTATGTTTCTCCGTTCACCTCAACGAGAGAAGCTCCGCTTCGTCGCCCGCGCAGACGCGTTGCTGCCAGCTCCGTTCACTCCCGCCCGGGCAATTAGCCGAGCGTGCGACGCTGCTGCTGCTGCTGCTGCACCACCGCGGACTCCGCCACTACCACCACCTCCCCCCGACACACCACCTGCACCGACACCGCCGCCGCCGCTGACGCCACCACCGCCGGCTCCAGTTTCACCCCCGCCCGCAGCTGCGGCACCAGCAGACGTCACTGCTGCGTTCGTCCGCATGGACGACACCGTGGGCGAGGTTGCCAACCCCGAGGTCCACATCAGCGCACTGAATTGACTGTCTAAGATGCTGTTGCCGACGGCGTCATGAACGTTATTATTGCTGCTGCTGCCGTTACTCGGCGTGGGCGAGAGCCGCTGCAAGGACAAGGATTGCTGCGACGATGTCCGCGGTGTTGCAGCAGCGGTGGTGGTGTTGGTCGTCAGCGCCCCACTCGCGCTAGGCGAGGGCGGTTGCATGTGGTAGGGCGCCGAGTGGGGCTGCAGCACGTCCAGCGGAGACGTCGTCATCCACTTCGAACTGGGCGACGAACTTCGCGTGTTCGTGGTACTTCCACGCGCAGCAGCGGCAGCCAAGACGGCGGCGGCCGCAGCGGGCGGACCGGCCATGCTGCCGTTGGTGCTGTTCGACTGCGAGGAGTGACGACTCGTGCTGGTCGCCGCCGTTGCCGTGCTGCTCGCGCTGGGCAGCTGCAGTGGTGCCGTGGGGGAGGCGGAGTGAGGACCGGCCTTACCCCGGCGCGCAGTCCCGTGAGTGATGGTGCTCCCCCCTCTCCCTCCGGCCCTCCCTCCACCCCCTCCAGAAGAAGAGCCGCTCCTTGCCGCGGCGTACTCAAAGGAAAACAACATCGGTACATCGCGGTAGCTCGTGGCGTCTGCGTTGCCGTACAGCGCCGCCGCCCCACGCAGGCGATCTACATCCAGGTAGAGCTGGCCATCCACGGCGACGACCTCGCCGTTGGGCACCGACAACATCCACGGCGCGGCCGCATGCGGGCGTGCATCGCCGTTGGATGCCCCCGCCGTGCTGTTCACGTTGCTGCTTCCACCGCCGTACATCGCACGGGACGCGTCTGACGAGGCCGACGTCGACGCCTTGTTCGACGCTGCCGCAGAGGCGAGGCCGGCCAGCGTCCCTGCTGCGGTAGGAAAGCTCGAGTTGGGGTGTGCGCAGGAAGGGGATGCGACGCCGCCGGTGACGGTCGTGGAAAGACGCAGTCGCATCGTGCTCGGCTGCAGCTTCTTCGGCTGCCCGGTGGCCGCATCGTAGAGGGAGCCGCCCCACAGCCAGGACGGGATGTGCGGCGGCACGAGCAGCGGCCCGGTGTAGTCTGCGATGAAGGACACCTCGTCCTGCTCCTCGCCGGTGAAGCGCAGGTGCTCGGCGTGGGCGGCGTGGATGTCCCACTGCTGCAGTTTCCGCAAGCCCATCACGACTAGCCCGGTGACGTGCCGCCCGTCGAGGCAGTGCACGTAGACGGGGTGGAGGTCGATGTTCATGATGAGCTGCAACGCCTCACTCAGCTCCGACGGCAGCAGCTGCACCTCGCCCTTGGCTCGCTCGGCGTGGATGTGGTGGAGTTGAATGTGCTCCGCCTCCGCGAAGCACTTCAAGTCGTAGGTCGGCGGCTCCGGGATGAGGGAGACGATGGTGCGCAGCCGCAGCCGCCGCAGGAAAGGGAAGTTGCGTAGAACGGGGTAGGCTCCGCGGTACACCCCGCTCTCCACACGCGCCATGCGGAAGGGTGGGACAAGACTCAGCGGCACAATCGCCGCCACCGCCGCGGCGGACGAGGCGGGCAAGTACAACTGCTGCTGCTGCTGCTGAAGGCTCAACGCCGCTGTCCACGCCACGCTACCTCCATCACTACTGGCACCTCGAACGTAGTAGGGGCTGAGCCCGGTAAAGCCGCCCTCGCCTGTCCCCCCGCCCCGCCCACACACGCAGCTGAGACGCTGACACAGCTGGCAGGTCAGCGCGGCTTCGTCTTCGTAGCCGGGGTGGGAGTGATGGCTGAGGTCGAAGGCCGCGAGTGGCGTGTCAGGCACGCCAGGCGTCGAGGTGCTCACGGCGAAGCCCGGCCCCGAGTTGCCGTTGCTGCCAACGCTGCTGGCGGTAGGGTGATTCACCGCCGCGCCGGTGAGGGTCGTGAAGGTCGAGTGGCTGGCACTCCCACCAGAGCGGTGCAACCGCAGCCACGGTGCAGCAGATGGGTAGGTAGAGTTGGGCTGCGTGTACACGGGCGCGGAGGGCAGCGACCCCCCGCGGACAGACGACGGTGGGCTGCTCACGCTGCTCGTGTGGTTCGGCGGATTCATCGCGAACCCACTGCCGACAGCGGCGGCGGCGGACTGCTGCTGCGGCGGGGGCGACGCTGCGGAGGGGGCAGTTGCCGGAGTGGTGCGACCGACATGCCCGCTACTGCCCTCCGAATCGGGCAGCAGCTGCAGCGGCGTCGTTGCTGACATCATCATCCCTGCACCTCCGCGAGCGCCTTTCCACGATGACGCCGAAACGGATCGGACGTAAAAGAGGGGGTTGACGGCTGCGGTGACGTTCGCATTGGCACTCGAGCCGGCCACGTTGAGGCTGTTGGCGGGGGAGGAGACAGCGGAGTGTGCTGCGGCTGCTGACCTGGCAGCCGAGAGGGAAGAGGAGGACATGACCGGGGCAAGCGGTGGAGAAAGGGCAGGGTCAGGCGGCGAGTGCTTCGGCGGGCCTTCGCCGTTGCGACCACGACCGTGCAGCGACATCAACTGCGGCGGCTGCGGTGAGTGGGACATCCGCTGCGGCTCCAGTGCGGTGCTGGGAGAGGGATGAGCCGCCGCCGCTGCTGCCGCTGCCGCTGCGTGGGCCATTTCGCCGTAAAGGGCTGCCGCCGCATCGTGGGCGAGGGAGGGGCACAGACGCTGTGCAGCCGGCTGCTGCTGCTGTTTGTGGTGATTCGACGGTGAGCTCATTAATCTTTGTTGTCATAGTATTATAAATACTATTTTTGGGGAGGGAGAGGTTTTTGTCTGCAGTACATAGTAGGCAAACACACAGAGTCCACCGTGCATCACCAATGCGACAGAGCAGGCGGTGGAGGAAGCCGCACGGGACGGACCGTATTCTCGCTTTCTCTGTTTTGCTGTTCACCGCAGAAAGATATCACAACACGTACATACATACAAATATATATATGGAAGTGTTGACAAAAGAAAAGCCAGGAGGAGAGTAAAACAATGATAACAATAGAAAACGAAGAACAACGCCCACTACTCCTTTCCTTCTTTGACGCCGGTGCGTGTGTGTGTGTGCGGAAGACGGCAGTGGCAATTCCCCGCAGAGACGCGGTGAGGACTCCGCAGAGGAGGGAACGGGCAGACAGGAGAAAACGGATGGGAGCAAACAGAGGGGAGGAAATACAAAACACCAATGAAGCGCGAGCATATAAATATATATTATTGCTTCCCTGAGATCATGCGAGATAGCAAAGCAGTGGATGGAGTACTAATAGACAACGACACGTCTTGACCATCTGTGTCGTTGGGTGTTCCCGTGGGGCATCCGTTTGACCCAACACCGTGAGGGACCCTCTCTCCCCATCTCCTCACGTTCACAGCCGCGAAGCATCACCGCTGCGTTCTCGACCTCTTCTCGTGCCTGCAGTGACTCAAGTGGCGTTTGGTTTAGTATTAATCACGTAACGGCGACAACCAGGAACAAGAAGAATCGAAGAAGAACCCCCTCTCCGTCGGCGAGGTTTATACAAACAAGGACCGCAAAGAAGAAGAACAAGTAACAAAAAGAGACGAAGAAGAATGCAAAGGGCTGAACCCCTTGTCAGCACCTTCCCGCCCCTTCCGTCTCCCTCCTCCCCGGGGTCGCTGTTCACCACCAGTTAAAATCGATCAACGACCGATCGAAGCTGAAGAAGACTGCGCGAGCAAAGGCGAACTCCCTCCAGTTATAGACGGCTTATTCCGAAATGAATAAGAAGGAGAAAGGGAGCGCTGTGGCACACTCGCCTCAACGAGGCCTGAAGCAAACGAAGGCGTGTTCCGGCGGTTCATCTTCCGCACTGCACGATCATGTTGCGTCTCCCTTACCCCGTTTCATCATCGGAGCTCGAGCTTTTTCTTCTATCATCGTCGTTTCCCTCTCCCTCTCGCTCTCCCCCTCCCTCCGCATTGACAGCGAAGAAGACACCGCCGCGCGCTCTTGAACGCTGAGGAGCTGCTCTTCAGCTTCTCCCCTCACCTCCATGTTTCTTCGAACAAACAAACCAGAAGAAAAGCACTCCCGTGCTTCGCGCCTCACCTCCTCTACAGCGTCGCCGTCAGCTTATCCAGGCCGAGCATACGCGTAGGCAAGGCCCAGAACAGATACGCCATGAGCGCCCCACCAGTGGCAGCGCCGTGCTCCTCCGGCTTAGTGGTGAAGATGCGCCACACGTCAATCACCATCACGAAGGCCGTCAGCACAAGGAACGGGATCGGCGGCTGCTGGATGAAGTTCAAGTGACGGAAGATGAGGCCCTCGATAGCGATGAGACCCATGATGAACGGGTTCGGCCCGTAGCACCGACCCCGCACCTCCAACTCGTCCATCCCATAATGCAGCTCGAACTTCTGCCGTGCGATGTGAATGAGGCTGCCGCCCAACGTGCAGAGCATCGCAAAGAAGGCCATGCGGGTGTTGCCGAGGAAGCCCAGCATCGTGTCACCGAACTGCCAGAGCAGCCAGCAGTCGATCAGCAGCTGCAGGAGATGCTCCTGGTAGAAGGCGTTGGTGAAGAGCGGGTAGATGCGCGTCCAGTTCTCGTGCGAGAGCGTGAAGTGCTCGACGATGAAGTCGCGCCAGTCGTCGTTACCGAAGTTCATCACAAAGTAGCACAGCACATTCGCAAGGAAGAGGATCATAACGATGTTGATGGTATGGAAGGGCGGAGGAAAGGGCAGGTAGCCAGGGCCGGAGTTCATGTTGAAGGGGTCCTCCTTGTCCCCACCGCCCTCCTTCCGCTCCTCCTCTTCCTCTCCCTTGTAGCGCTCCAAGTTGTTCACGCCCTGTAGCTGCCCACCGGTGCTCTCTGACTTCTTCGGCGAGTGCGTTGGACGCGTCGGGCGCATCGTGCCGTAGCAGCGCTGCGCCGCAAACAGAGGAGCAGCACATGCGCTGTTCTGGTGGCCAAGTCGGCCGCTGGCGTAGAAGGAGGTGCGGACCGGCACGACCCCCACGCGCAACGTGCTCGGCAAGGCGACGCCACTACGAAGAGATGTGCTGGTCAACAGCTTTGATGTTGCTTTGGCTGGGGTGTGCAACGCACGTGTGGCCGCCGCCGTGTTGCTGTAACGGTAGCTATGGATGCCGCTGCACGTCTGTGACCCCCGCAGGGCGATGACGGAAGCAAGTCGGAGCGACGACGCGCGAGTCAGCTGTGCCAGCTGCTGCGATGCTTGACGCAGCATGAATGCGCGAGTGTGTGACATCTCTCCTGCTTTTATATATATATATATATATACTTCTGTTTCTTTAACAGTAGTTCTTAATTACACCGTGTATCAACACCAACCATCAAGAGGAAAAATTAGAGGAAAGGAGGAAGAAGAACGAAACCGGCGACAGCACAGATTTTCGCCGAGAGAGCGATTATATATAAGAAGGTATCTGTGAGAAGGGCACTGCGGCGAGGGGCAAACGACGGCGCCGAGACAAACCAACCAAACAAGCAAACAAACGGAAAGGCCGCGAATTGGCGACCGTCGATGACAACACAGTTGAAACAACCAGCAGCGACAACACAACGGATGTCGACAAGGGTGAGTACCGCCTCGATAGTACGAAGTTTGAGGAGGAAGGGGGAGGGACACCCGTCCTTCTAGTGGGCAGTTGGTTGTGAAAGGGGAGTCTCGAAAGGCGCAAGGCGCAACACAGGTACAGCTATTGTCCGTGTCCACCGTGGTGTGTGTGTGTGTGTGTGTGTGTGCCGGCTCCGACTTATCCAAAGAAGAAAAAAACACGAGCAGCGAGCTGATGAAGTACAGCGTTACGTCGAAGGGAGAAAGAAGGGAAGAAGGGAGGTGGTGGAGGGGCGGAGGTGGTGCTGATGAAATGAAACCCACACGATCGAGCCGCGCGTCGCGCCGAAGCGTTGCGGAGAATAAAAACCTGTTAAGTACACATTCGAGTCACCTGCGAGCAGTAGAGGGCGTACAAGGTAAAACACAGCTAGCTCGCCTTCCCTTAGAAGGAAACCAATGGAGAAGATCTTCTCGCCAAGTAGGTGTACAGCGAGAGTCCGGGAGTGCAGCGAGAGTCCGGGAGTGCAGCGAATCCCACTGGAAAGCGCGGCCGCACACAGACAGGACAAACAACGAAGAAAAGAACTATCGCGTCAGCTAACACCCCCACGCGTCTTTCTTCCGTGTGTGAATGTGATCCTACGTGTGTTTATCGTAAGTGAAGATCGTACGCGGACACACAGGAGAACAACACCATGCGGCACACCTCACAACTAAACGAACTACGCACACGCACACCAAACAACAGCAACTAAGTTCCGCGCCAACACTCTTGCGCCAGAGTGTCTCTTCACGCATCTCCCTCCCTCCTCGTTCTTCACCTTACGCCTCCCCTTCCGCAGCGTGTTGTGTCCTCTGCAGCGCACGCCGCCGCTCCTCCAGCAGCTTCTTCTCCAGCTGATCGCGGTGCATCACGTCGCGCAGACGCATGCGGCGCAGCTGCATAAAGTTCATCTTACTGCGCAGGCGCGGATTGCCGACCGCCGGGCCGCGACCAAAGGTGGGCGGAATCTGCGATGCCAGGTCACGGAAGGAGACGTGCTCCGGCACGCCAATCAGCGCCTTCGCCTCATCCAGGTCCACAGGATCCACACGGACAAGGTGCCGGACCCGCCAGAGCCGCTTGCGGACCTGCGGGATGTCCGGCACGATGGTGGTCTGTCCCATGAACTCCAACCGCAGCTCGCGCAGCATGCGGTTGACCTCCCACGAGAACTTGAAGGGGTGATCGACGCAGGTGACGATGAAGACGTTGCCGACGCGGCGGTAGGGGCCGGCGACGATGGCGGAAGGGTTTGCTGGCACTGCGGAGGCGGAGGGGGGAGCCGCCGTGGGTGTAACCGTGGAGTCGGCCGCGGCGAGGCAGCTGCCGCTGAGGTGGAAGGCGCGCGCCGCGGTGCGAGGGCACCCAATCATCCTGCTCGAGGACGCCATCGCGGGGCGAAGGAGACGATACATCCTTCAGCTTTGCTATCCCGCGCTGATGTTGGTAAACAAACAAACAAAATAGGAAATCCCTCTTCTTGGAGATTCTTCCTTGCGTTCGCTTAAGCGTGGAGATGAGCGAGTTATACGATACGCGACACGAACAGCAAACGCGTGATGAGAGACGCGGAGGTGTGGGCGTGTGTGGGTGGGACGCACTGCAGCCCCCGCCCGCAGTATCCGTACAAGAGGAACAACAAGGGAAATAGAAACGAGTAGAGAGAGGGGAGGGAGGAAGGGAGGACGAAGTACAGAAAAGGCAGCGCACGAAGATGAGCGGCAGCAACAGCGAAAGAAAAAAAGAACCGGTACTACCTAAAAGGATAGTTCTAACGTTCCCCGCTTTGCAGCGCAGCAACACGCTTATGCAGCACGATGAGGCGGTCCACGTAGTGCGCGCCGAGCGCTTAGTTCCTCCTCTTCTCTCCACGAAGCGACGGGGCAATTCATAGGCCTTGCGTTTATTTTTCTTACTGTTGATCCCTCTTCCCGGATTTTTTGTGGCTTGTGTGTGTGTGTGTGTCTCTCTCTCTCTCATGCAGCAAACGTTGTGTGTGTTTTGGGTTGTTTTGAGATGTACAGACGATAAACATCTGCAGGCGCGTTCCATCGAGCGTGGAGGCACCACCACCATCACCACCGCCACCATCACCGCTGTTAAACAGAAAGAAAAACCGACGACGCAGACGCCACGCGGAAAAACGGTTTATATATATATATATAAATGAAGAGGAGAAAGTGGTTATCTACAAGGGTAAGTGCTCCCTGCGCATACTAAGTAGGAGCAAACATCGTACAAACGCCCACAAACAAAAGGAAAGGAGATACAGAACTATGAAGGTGTGCTCATTACGATGAAACACGCACGATGTGGAAGAAAGGAAACGAAAAGAAAAAATAAAATGACAACGACGACAACAACAGTCGATAAAATACAGGCGAAAAGAATACGGCTGACAAAGGCAGGAAAATACGCTGGCGGAGGTTTGAGTCCGATGCCGCCGCTCGCCGCCCCAAATACGGAGCTGACCCAGACGAAGAAAGGTCAGCACTACGTTCCCTGGTTGCCGCTGCCGACCGCAGAATGCTACGTACTTCGTCAGGTCTCCCCTGCCTTTTCTTTAAAATACCGAGGACGTGTGCAATTGGTGTGGTTCCCATGAACGACAGAAGAGAGAAAAAGAAGAAGACACGAGAGAAGGAGAGCACGACGAGAGAAAATAATAATAATAATCCGTTTACATCTCATCCGTGTACTCCTCATCGTAGCGGAGCGATCCCATTTCCGCTACGCGCTGACCGCCTCCGCGCTGGTTCTCGGCCTCGTGCACATCACACTGCTGGTGACTCTCCCAATACCCCTCCCCATCCTCGCCCCCCTTGACGCTATCGCCGCCCTCGCCGTCTTCCTCGACTTCCTCGTCCTCCGCGTAGCCGTCTTCTGCATACACGTCGTCACCGAGCTTCAGCACAAGCGGGCCTTTCTTCACGAGGTCGTCCGCCTCTTCCACCTCGTCGCTGCCGCGCTCGGAGACGGCGACGGGTTGGGTGTCGGTGTCACTGTCGCTGTCACGCGATGCCGCGCTTGGCGCCGGCGCGTAGTCCTCCACGTAGTCCTCCGGGCTCGCCGCTGCTCCTTCACGCTCATCGTTCGCTGCTGCTGCTGCCGCTGCCGCCGCTGATGCGCAAGCTGCTGGTGGTGGTGGTGGAGGTGATGTGCGCGCGCGATGCTGCGCAACTAGTCTTGCCCTCTCCGCCGATGCGTTCTGCTGCTGTTGACGGGGCTGCTGTGGCGGTGGCGGCTCACGTGACGTGCCGCGCGGGGTGTCCTGCGAGCCCTCATCATCGCCATTGTTGTCCTGGTCTAAGAGAAAGCGCCGCACTTCCGCGCCGGCGGAATCGGACGACGTGTTCTTCGTGTTGCTATTGCTAGCACGGTGCGAGTTGGCTGTGGGGGCGGGATCGTTGTTAGTGTCTGGCGCGCTGCCTCGCTGCGTCTGCGCGTTCGCCGCGTCGGTCATCGAGTCGTACTCCTCCTCCTCTTCCTCCTCTTCCTCCTCTTCCTCTTCCTCCTCTGATGAGTACAACGCATCGTCGTAGGCGGCTGCATCGTCGACGTCGACGTCTTCTCTGTCGTCGCTGTCGTTGTCATCTGCGTAGGGTGACGGGTACAGCTCCGCCGCGGCGCTGGTTGTGGCTGGAGCTGAGACATCAGTCGGCGGTGGCAGCGGTGGTTGTGGTTGGGAGGTATGCGGCGTTACAGAAGAAGGCTTGGAGGATGACGGCTGCTGCTGCTGCTGTGGAGGCGGCGGTGGTAGTAAAGGCTGCTGTGCAGGACGGGCATCAGCGACCGGGTTGCGCGCGACTGCCCGTTCGCTGCGGTGACTAGCACCGTTCTCACCTCCTTTGCTTTCCGCTCGTGGCGGTTCGCCCGACGCGCCAGACGAAGGCGGCGGGGGAGGCGGAACGGAGCCGGGTGGGTTGAACTTGCTGAAGCGGCCAGAGGTGTAGCCCAGCATGCTCGGCGTGGTGCTGGCGACGCTGCCGTCTGGCGTGGTCTCTGCGGAAGACGGGTGTGCGCGTGGCGGCGGGCTGTCTCGCAGGGGCTGCGACGTGCGGCGCTGCGACGGAGGTGGCGGCGGCGGAGGGCGTTGACGCTGCTGTTGTAATCGTTGTTGAGTCGATGAGGGTGGCGGTGGCGGTGGCGGTGGTGGTGGTCGACGACTCGCCTGCGGAGGACGTTGCTGCTGCTGTTGAGCGGCTGGTTGCGGTGGTGGCGGCGCGGCGTACTTCGCTTCCGTGTTCGGTGTGTTGTAAGAGTTGTAGTAGTCGTAGTTGCTGTAGTGGTCCTGCGTGGTGCCGAACTCGTTGTTGCCGCCGTTAGGCGTGTCTTCGATGTAGGGGTTGGTGATGTACGGCTGCGATGCAGAGCGCGGCGGCGGACGCGATGGCTGTGGCGGCCGATCCGGTGGGGCGTGCGGAGACGGACGTTGGCCCGGCCCGGCGTGCAGCGGCGTCGGCTCGGCGGAGTTCGGGTGCTGGTGACCCCGGCGGCGACCAGCCGCTGCTGCCGTTGCGGCTACAGTTGCCCGCGTCAAGTCTGGCGGTACGAGTGGCCGCAGCGACGATGATGACGTGGCCGTAGTGGCCTGTGGGGCAAGCGGCGGCATCAGCGTCCTCGTTGGAGAAGCCCTTAGTACTCCTCCTACTGCTGCACCGGCAGGCGCGATCGCCGCCGTTGGCAGGGAAGTTCGCCGGTTCTGGTTTGTGCGGCGAATAATTTCCTCGTACAAGCCCTCTGCCGGCCCGCGGCGTGGCCTGACATCGCCGCCCGCCGCCACATTTGACGGACCTTTGCTGTGTGAAGAGGACGGAGATGACTCTCGCCGCCGTGCTGCTGCTGCCTCCGCTGCCGCTGCCGTCCGTCGATCCTCTTCTTCTTCTCGCCGGCGTCGCTCACGTTGGCGCTGCGACGTGGGCGGCGGCTGAAAGACGGTGCCCTCGACAAGCTGCTTTCCGGTAGCCATCTGCTGTGCGTGGCGCTGTAGTAAGTACCCGCCGGCACCCCCGTCCGCCGCCTCGTCCATCACCGTCTCACAAACGGGGAACGGCAACGATGACACGTCGGCGTCGTCGCGATGGCGGTGGGTCTGCCCTTTCCTCAAAATGCTGGGCGACGGCAGCTGCGTCAGGGCCGCGCCGGTTGGGTCACGCGTCGTTGCGACAGTCGGGCGGTTTGTCTCTCTCGCCCAGCGATTGCCGTCGTCTAGCACAAAGGTCGGACGGGGTCCACCGCTGTTTTTGTCTGTGCCTGTGCCATTGCTGTTGTCGCCCGGCTGACCCGCAGACCCGCGGCGGCCACGTAGCGGGTCCCCTCCCTGCGCACTCGGGCGCCGCAGCAGCATCGGATAGCGGCCCGCCATCCTGTCCGCCTCGAGCGTGTAGTTGACCGGGTCCAGGAGCGCTTCTTGTTCTGCCGGCGTGAGGCCGCCGTTGTCGGTCGGGTCCGGCGCATCCGGGTTATAGGTCTCGCTCGGCAGCACGTAGCGCACCTTCCTGCTCGCCGTAGTGAGAGTGGTGGTGGAGACGCGCAGGGTGGGCGGCGGCCCGGCAGGTGCGACGCCACCGCTGCTGCTGCGGCCATCTCCGTCTTGCCGAGCTAAGGCGGCAGGCGAGGGCCGGTGGTGCAGGACGGCGCCGCGGCCGCTGCTGTGGTGGTGGTACCGCTCCTGCGGAAAGGCCCCCTTGACGGCGTCGGAGGGGGGCGGGTGCGCGGCGACCACGAGCTCCACCCCGCTGCGCTGCGCATGTTGTGGCGAGGGCTGCTGCTGTCGTGGGCTGTAGGATGAGGTTGCGGTGGTGTCGACTTGAGGCGGTGGCGGTCCGGGAGAAGGACGCGACGGCGGCTTCGGTCCGACGGTGCTCGCTCGGGAGCTCGGCTGACCGGCGGGGGTGTCGGCGTAGCGGGGGTTGTGGCTGCTCCGCTGTTGCTGTGGCGGCTCCTGCTTGCTCTGTTGAAGATATGCACCGGACAGCGACATCGCATTCCGCGACGGCGCAGAAAGGTTGGTGGAGGTCGAAATATTGGAGAGCGAGATCGGCGCGATGGCCTCCCGCTGCACTCGCGGTGGCGGCCCACGCGGGTGGCTGCTGCCAATTTGGTTGAAAGACGCTCTGCGCGGCGGCACTGCTGGACCGCCGAGCACGTCCTCCGCCGCCGCCGGCACGACACCGTTCTTGTCCCTCGACGTGTGGGAGGACAGCCGGCTGCCTTCCCACGCTGGGCCGTCGCGCGTCACGCTCAACACCGTGATGGACTGCCGGCTGGTGCGCACGTCCTGTGGGTCCGCACGAGCGGGGCCGACGTGCGGGGAGTTCGCATTTCGCTGTTGCGGCCTCGGCGTGGAGACGGCGTTTGCTAACGCGACAACCGACACGGGCCGATACTCGGCGAGACTGCCGAGCAGCACGCCACTCGGCATCCCGCCATCACGGCTGCTGCTGTGCAACGGGCCATTCCCATTACCACCGCCACCTGCCCCACGCTGACCGCTGGGTGGCAGCGGAGACGCAGAGGACGTCGTCTGCCCCGTCGCACCTGCGCGTCCGTGCGCGCTGCCGTTGCTTGCGCGGCGTAGCTGCATGGTTAGGGTGGTGCTCCCATTCAAGTCCAATTCCGGTCCCGCGAGGCCGCCGCTGCCTCTGCGGGCCCGCTTGCCGTCGTAGGAGACAGAGCCGGAGGTGCTCACGTCGTTGGTGGATGGGGAGTTGAATTGGTGTGGCGCACGGACACCTCCGTTGCTGCCGCTGCTGCGGACCGGCACGAAGCGCTCTGCGCTGGCTGCGGGAGTCGTTGACGCGGTAGTGGGGTAGCGAGGCGGGTACCCGGCCCAGGCGCCGCCGCCCGCTTGAGGGCGTCCACCCTGCGAGGAGTTGACCCGCATCGCTGACATCTTTCTCCTTTTATGTTTTGCAACTGAAAAAATAAGATGAAAATGATGAGGAGGACACACCTAGAAACAAAGAATTACACCACTTGCAGACAGAATAAAATACACGAACGGTCCGCAGCGCGCTGCGAGTACGGATTAGAGGACGCGGCTCCAACAAGGGGGGGGGGGGAAGAGAGGGGAGGACTTGACTAGCAGACGTGGATTGTCCCTCCGCTGCTGCTGGCCTTGACACCGTTGCCCAATCCTCCCTCAAAAAGAAAAACGAATGATCAGGTCGGAGTATATTTTTGTGGGTAGGAGTTGACTTGAGGTGTTCTTCTGCGTTGTCTTCCGCTAAAAACCGGCTGCAAACACAACACCAACAACTAAACTAAGGAACAACAGCACGATGCGCCGTCGCGTGCCGGTGGATGCGGTGGTGTAAAAAAGAGCTGCCTCCTTTTGTTTCTTCAAGAGAAACAGAGGTCACTAGTAAAAGTACAGAGGAAATCAATAGTAGTCGAAACGATGAGGCCCGCCGGAGAGCACCAGGGGGCAAAGGAAAGATAAAGAAGCTAACTAGCACCCTACTATGTGTGTGTGTGTATATATATATAATCGTTTAAGAACGTACAAAGAAGAAA